TATTTACCCTAGAAACACATTTTTGTTGTGGCATTTTTAAGTAAAATTGATTTATCCGTCAAACAATTAAAGCTTGTTTTTAGGGAAGAGACATTAATATTTTATTCGAGATAATAATAGTACGATTAAATATATATATTGTTATGCAAATATTTAACACACCAAGAAGTTTTAATTGATAAAAACAATGTGTATTCACTATGTTGAGCTGCAAAAACATCCAAAAATGNAAACAATGTGTATTCACTATGTTGAGCTGCAAAAACATCCAAAAATGAAGTTTTTATTTGTGTTTACATATCAGTATACTAAAAAACTATTATTTTTATATTCTTACAACAGTAAAACAGTTTTATAATTTCACATAATATAATCAAACATAATAAAGATATATAAACGCTTAAAGGTTTATTTTACATTATAAGTAATTTGTATACATGTCCGAATAAAGAAACTTGGCAAGGTATTTTCCGGCATACAAACATAGTTGAATGTATTATGAAGGTATTGAGAATTTATACGATATTATTTGATATGAAATCTTGAATAAAAATACTTAAGTTATATAACATCCAAAAAATATGTGCGACACGTTTATCTTTAAAAATATCAAAACCTGTCAATAACACCGTTATTGTTATGCGTTTATATATTATTAATATATTAATACACACAATAAAAAATCGGATAATTTCAATAAACATCCCACTAAATTTCTGCTTAATATATAGTGTTACTAAAATATCAGTATAAATAATATGTAGTTTTTTAATTTCGATAACAATGATATTAAAAGGAAGAGACTGCAAACACAAGTGCCTAAATTCACATTTATAAAAATTATTAACTTTAATTTTATTAAAAGTTTTTCGTTTTTTCTTTAATTTAAATATTTTAATTGCGCTTTACAGTAAATAATATCTTTTTTTGTTTAATATTTGATTTCTTATGAGTTTAGAATGTATAAGTTCATATTATTTATGAATAACACTAAAGTTTTATAAAGAGAGAGGTGTTTAATTGGTATTTACTCTTCCCCATCTATACGACCAACTGCTTGACTAAAATATAAAAATAATAGAAAAAAAACATACCACGATAAAATGTAATCTTTAAACCATAATAATGAGGACAGCTGATGTGAGCGTAGTGGATGTGGGAGATCGTGTCAAGTTGAAGTTTAGGATAAGGGTAGCCGACACCAAGTAATTGGGATTATGGCGAGGAAAAAGGAGAAAGGAGAAGAATAATATGATAGGAAAAAATTACAAACTGTTGTTTATCTGATCAGCAGTTTGTGTTATACACATTATTTAAAGATTTGGATGTCAAATAAAAATTCATCATTGATTTGGTTTTATGTTACCAGTGACAGTACCCAACCGGTACTATTGGTGCCACCATGACGGCAAAATTATTTTATGATATTCTATACATTTTTTTATTATGGTAGTTATCAAGAAAAATTTTCTACACAAGTTATCTAAATGAGAGATAAGGATAATATTTTGTCGCTATCGTAATAGATTATTGGTGCTACCGGTATTAGAAATCTTTAAATAATGTCTAAAACACAAACGGTTGATCAGATATAGCGCGAGTACGTTACTGATATTTTAGTAACACTATATATTAAGCAGATATTTAGTGTGATGTTTATTGTAATTATCCAATTTTTTATTGTGTGTAATAATAAACGGTAAAAAATAAACGAATTGAACTAATTATTTATATTTCAGAAATGTCTTTGGGCGGGTCTGGTGAAAATTTCAAACCTTAAATCGTAAAACGTTGGCGTCACCAATCATTTTTTCTCGAAAACAGTCGAAATTTTAAAACGCTCGCTGTGCGATTTCAAATTTTCCGACCTTCAGCAATTATTTTACCGGAGTCTCGTGACCAAGTACTTTCGTTAAAAAAAAAAAAAAAGAAATCTTGAAAATTTGAGCACGCTAAGTTATTTTCCCAGAAAAACATTTATCCTTGTTTTATTATATAATATGATTACATTTGCTATTTTGATAACTTCAGTAAATAATTCACTTGTCGATGAATTGTGTTTCAGCCTGCTGATGCGAAGGGACCGAAAAGTCGTTAGGTTAAAACCTTATGGAATGTGTCCACATTTTCAGTCCAGACCTCCAAATGACCACAGGCCATCACAACAAACTCCGAATCGTCCGAGGACAGACTTGAAACTTCTACTTCTCGTTGAAACTACTTACTCGAGACTCGGCAGAGAACTTGCAGAAACACTTGTTCACAATAGACTGAGGTAATCAATATGTATTATAAATTATTTATTAATCTTTTATATATGATTTTTATGCTGTTTATCTAATTTACTGGGTCGATTATTATTATAATATTTTGCTTTGCTTACTTTTATATCAATCATAAAAATTGTACGACCTATATATAAAATGCGAATGATAAATTCAAATTTTCATTTTGAATTCAATAATGGAATTAATTTTCAAAAAAACTAAATATGTACTTAAAATAAATCAATTATATTGTATCCTCAAATTTAACGATTAATAAAGATATACTATCTTATTTATTTTTATTTATTAATAAAAATGTATTTAACTTTTAAATTGTAACTTTTATTATGAAACCATATTAGAGTCTATTATGTAGTGCGGTTTAGTTAGTACTTGATTAGTAAGTGGACCTCTATAAGCGGACAATACTTAAACCGTTGTATAATTGAGTGTAATATAAACTGTTGGCTAATAAAATATATCTACTGTTCATTAATACCTTATTTCAATTGTAACTGATTTTAATTATTATAATTGTTGTCACTCGCCAAGTTTAGTGTTTTTTTCTTATTATTATCTACTTACAGTAGTTTACACCTCAATACGTTACCTTGTCCTGTTTTAGACGTGTCACAACACTTTACATTTGATGTATGATATTAAAATACTTTATTTTATAAGCTTTTTAAAAGTTTTATAGTATCTAATAATTTAGTGTTTACACTTATTGATTTTAAATCTGTTATTTGTTAACTTTTCCAGTAAAAGTTTTTTAAAAGATTCTTTTTTATTGCAAAGTTATAATGAATCACAAAAATATTACAACTATGTTATTTTATTGATGTAAGTTTGATCTAAACAATTTCTCATCTAACAAATTAACATAAACAAGAAGAAATTATAAAATCTGCTTTATAATATAATATAGAAGTCATTAAGTTTTTTTAATTTCAGAGATATTTCAAACTTTTAATTATTAACTATGGAAATTTCTTAATCTTGCTATCTTGAAATTTATTCTAAAGTTATTTTTCATCATTTGTGAAAACTGTCTTTATAATTATTTTCAGTTTAAAAATATCTACAGAAATAAAACTTGCTTTATTCGATTCTCACTTGGTCTCGTATATTTTAATTAGAAATTATTTTCATAATTAACAATATTTTCTTGTATTATTTCTAAAATGCTAAATTGAAACTTCATTATTAAATAGTTATTACATGATTATAGGGACCATTTAAATAAATATACAAAAAGTATTCATTAATTCGTGTTACACAATGTTCTATTTGTGTAGTTAATTTTTAACTTGATTTTTAAAATGGTCGAACGATACTTTTTTGCTCTTATTTAGAGTAGTAATGTATATGGGTGTTTCTCGTATTCGTTATATTTATTAAATGATTAATTTATTAAAAATGTGTAAGAAAAAAACTCATTTGGAAACTTTAGGTATAATATTTATATAAGGGTATAAGTAATGAGTCTAGCGTTCACTGTGGCAATAAGTCGGCTAATAATTTTCGAAACATCAATCAAAATGTCCCTACCATCGTTTTTGCAAGAAAAGGGAGGGGGTGTGCTTGAATGCGGTCACGCCTGCGAACAACTTTTGCTGGATGAATTAAATTTTGTTATGAAACTGTCAAAGTTTCAACCCTTTTATGTTTTGTTTATAATATGTATGTGCGGTTTTGGAAGAGTTACTACCGGAGCCGTCCATTATCATTTGCCGAACAACCTGAGCAGTACTTTCGTTGTAGTGGTTATTATGTGTGTTTCATCAAATCTAATCTAAACAGTAACATTAGAAACCTTTTCAGAATTAAAATTTTCCGTAATTTATACTTGAAAGCGGTAAGCGCTCGACTGTGTGAATTTAGATTTGTACGATTCGTTTGTACCGCGTTTCCTATTTCAATTTCCATTCCCTTGACTATTTTTAGATTTTACATTTAAAAAAATATCAATTTCATTTTATTTTTATTTTACATGCATAATTTTATTAATTTGCGATTTGTAAAATTCGACAGTGAAACATTCCCTTCCAGCGTTCTACCTTATGTCGATAACATATCGCAAAAGATTTATTTTTATTGCGTTATATTACAAATCTAATAATTCGACAATAAATACCGCGAGAAAGATATTCTGAAATGTTATTGAAGAGCGACCCGTGACGTGTATTATAGATTTATAGTTTCGTTTTCGATATTTTATTTTTTAGATCGCATTAAATTTAAATAAATAACAGATGGAAAAAATGTCAATGGAAATATATTTTATGCTTGCTCTTATTTGATTAGTTTTTTTTTTTTTGAGGGGATAATGTACAATAAATCCTTTCGATAAATTTACATTGCTGATTTATTCGAGTCGCGCACTACGAGGATTATTATGCGTTTTTGATCAATCGGAAAGGCCAAAAGTTTGTTTACCACTAGTCCAAAAAAAAATCCGATTTGCCTTTCGGTATTTGAAATAATTTTCTGAAAAATAAATCTATCAAAAAATATTTAGAAGCGCGTCCTTGCCTTATGACTCGTGTCGTCGGAGTCGGGTCAGTGTTTTATTTCAGTCATAGAAAATACCCCCTGCAAATAACGTTCTCTATAAAAGCCTGTTGGCCGTAAAACGCTCAACATAATATAGTTTGAATATGGTTTACATAGATTTCATATAAACCGTTTCACCGAACAGGATTTTTCACTTGTTTTCTACTGGCTATGTATATTCAATAATATATACTGTTGAAAAATTAATAATATAATATTTTGGTAAGTTGTTTTAACTCGCCATTATGACACGAGTTTTTGAAAATATATTTTTCATTTGATTCTCGTTTGCATTTTTCTTAATAACTTTGTCAATTACCAAAATTGTTCCTATTAAATGTAGAAACATTTTTCTTTAAACGATATTTACAATTCTCGCCTTGTATTCTGTTAAGTACCAACTTTCTGACATAAAATGCATCTATCTAGAAGCTGGGCATGGACAAGACTATTTATGTACTTATTGACTTGACTTAAGTACTACAATTTTATTGCACGATTTCCATGAGAATACGTAATATAAATTTAATCTGTTCATCTGTAAAAATAGAATCTGTTTATGTACTCTGTTGTATGAGGTACAATGTTATCAAATGAATACCTAAGAAATATTTCTTTACGTTTTTATTTTTACAACAAAGGTTACTACTTCTTCCCACATCAAGTTACTTGAAAATTTTATTGAAAGACGTTTTGTGTAAATATACACCTACTAACGTTTATTATTGCCGAATCGGGATATTTTTTATTTGTTTTTCGAAAAGCATTTTTATTAACGACATTGTTTAGATTTTTTACGACAAACGTACTACTAAATTTTAAAATAGAATTGTTTTTATGTTAACACAAACTCTTAAGGTGACAACGAATCTTGAAGTTTACTCTCACTCTTCTGCATTTTATTAACGGGTAATATTAATTCTCCCGTAACTATTCAATAAATTTTTTTTTTTATTTATCTCATGGTATGAGAAATTGCTTGTGTCACCTTAAACTTATATTATCTTTGTTGATTATATAAAATTATTTCTTCAGATATGAAGAACAAATTATTATTTATTAATTGTCAAAATTTACCTAAAATATAATTGGTTCCTAGTATGTGTCATTAAAAAAGTAAAACTATTAAAGAACTCATAAGACACACATTAACTATTTTTAAACGTTTGTGTATTTTTTAATTAACTACATCCGGTTACTAATTTATTTAAATGAAAAATTCTTGGAATTGTTCATGCATAAAACGCACTTGTTCAGGGCTTAGTTGTAATTTAAGTGTCGGCCTAATGTTTATTGTGAATGGATAAAATCAGTGACCACATTGTTTTTTAAACTAGTTTTTTTATTATTTTTCTAAAGCAAAATATGGACGTAAAAATAAATTAACAGCAAAAAATCGTAAAATTCTAGTTAGTAAACCTCGACATAATACTTTGCAAATTTCGTTGAAAATTATTTTCAATATTTTGGTTAAAAATTAAAAAATACTTTTTGATATAATACAGTAATAAAATATACTAAACGTTAATATAAAATAATCTCTTGTTTTATGTGACCATTTACGTGATGCTTGACATTGTACTTGCGACTTAAGTAGCATTTATATTTTCGAAAAGAATAATTTTATAAAAATTTAACTATTGTTTATCATGAACATAATAGCAGTGACAATTTATTTGTAATTAAACGAGCTAAATATTTGCAATGCACTTAGGTTTTTGATACCATTTGCTTATAAGGTAAATCGTACCAATCCGGTTTATCTGTAGCTAAAAATGTGCCATTTTTATTTTTATTTGTAGTTACTCGTGTCTTCGAGAAACTATAAAACTGCCGAAACGTGCGTACTGGTCGTCGTCCCTTTGTGTGGTTGTTATGGATTTACTCTTTTTTACTTAACAAATCTACTAATAAACCTTAAATACCAGTAGGTATTCCAAGAAACTTCCGAAAAAAATCTGTTTAACTATTATGTATACTGCCATAAGCATTTATTTTTGTGTTACGATTTTTAATAAACCCGTTTACTAAACGGAATTCGATAGTTATGTTCTTTCTGTATGACAGTGTGTTTTATTATTTCAATTTTATATTTTATATTTTTATTGCCAACATAAGCAAATCTTTAACCGTAGGGGTTTCATTCATTTATTTTATAACAGTTTTTGTCTTAAATTGTTTAAATCTTAAAATCTTAAGCTACTTTATTGATTTCAAGTCGACTGGAAATATAATACATACATTAATCGACAGACAAATTAAAAAATAATTTACTAACAATTTTAAGAAACCGAAATTGTTTTGTGACTTGCTAAAACAAATTTTTCGTGTATTTTTCAGTAAGAATTAAAAGTGCGTTTGTACAATAGGTACGTGTATTTTATGGTAGTTATTAATTTTAAAAGGTATTTCATGTATAAAATAAACACATTTTATGAATAGCTATCGAAATTTTGTGTTCGAAAAATAATGAACTCTCAATGATTTTACGCTGGACAGATGAGTTAAATTTTTAGTAATGATTTGTGGAATTGAATTGCACTTTATGTTCTTTTAGTTTTTGTATTATTCTGATATAGATAATAGGAGTAAACGTGCTATATTCGAGAGTGGTAAGTTAGGTTATGAATTTAACACATTTCCTAATGTTAAATTATCTTTCATTTCAAGAACGTGAGATTTTTCTGAAACTGAGTGTTTTAGAAAAACGTGACGGCTCGCGAAATAGCCGTTTTAATCATTTGTCTATTTAATACTTTTAAACTGGACAAAAATCTTCCTACCTATTCTGAAAATTCGTGATTTTTATGAGAACCGCATGTCTTTAGATGTATTTAAAAGGGTTTCATATCTAGTGATAACATATGATAACAACTTTTTGTTATTCAATTGTTGTTGTTTATATAATTAAGTATTTTTAATTAATATTTTTGAATATAAAATAATATTATTCGTAAGCGCCAATAATTTTCACCATCCTGTTTTTTATTTAGAAATAAAATAGTATAACTACGTATTTTAATTTACAAATTAAACTAGATTCAGTTAATGAGAATGATATAAATGGTTAATATCAGCCAAATATGATGAATTAAAATTATTGCATCTCGGAAGTGTTAAATAGTGGCTTCTATTTAAAAATCATTTGTTATAATGTATATGTTGTATGTTTTGTAGTAAATCAATAATAAAATATGTCGTCTATTGGTATTAATTTTAATTGTTATTAATAATAGCAGTTTTATTTAGTTTCAAATTTTGCAATTTATAAAGTACTTGATCAGAGACTGCTCATTTATTCATAAAAAGTGGTTTAAAGATATACTTTAGTTTTCAGTGTAAAAAATGTCAGGAACATCCTATTATAAAATCTGCTCCAACATGAAAGTGACATATCATATATTTTTCCTGGTATCTCTTCAGTAATTACTACCTCATTAAAAAATAAAAATAAAATATAGACAACAAAGTGCATCTTGTAACTTGTATTATTCGTGGACTGTTTTGGATTTTTTATCTTATAAAAGCCTCATAGATTCTCTGTTATTTAATTATACACTGAAAAAAAATGTCTCGATCATGATTAACAAAAGTGTAAAGTTTTATGACTAATTATAGTTTATGGATATTATTCATAGATAATGATAAACAGTAAAAACAACATTTATTCTGTTCAAGTAACCAATTTGCTAAGAAATAAAAAAAATTGTTGTAAAATTTTATTCATCTCTAAAGGTTTTTAAGTCATCAATTTCCGAGCTCTAATCATTTTATATTATTATTTACGTTGTTTCAATATACATGAGCATGTGTGATTTTGTCGTAGTTTAATGTACATTTTTATTTTGTTACACCTTTTAATTTATATGTTAAAATAAAGTAATAATTGATATTCTAAGAAATTTAGATTATTACTTACCTACTTAGAACATTTGATTAAATTACCGGTTGCTTAACTTAATATTCCAATCATCTAAATATAAGGTAAATTCTTTTCTAAAATTATAATTATTCAATTTAATTTTTTGTTTTGCAGGTATAAAATGGAAATAGCCGGAAAGTCGTTACCGGCTCTTACTTACTTAGATAAAGGTCGTTATTCCGTTATCGTTTTTGAAAACTACTATAAGTACTTAAATATGGACAAATGGAATAGAGAGCTATTAGATAAATACTGCAGGGAATACGGGGTTGGTATAATAGGGTTTTTCCCGCCGACAGAACGTCGAGCGGTCGGCGTACAAGTTAGAGGGTTTCCATTATACACGCACACGAAACTCTCACTGAGAGTGAGTATATTGTTACTAGTATATTATCTTTGTTTACTTTTCAAAAAATCTCACCAACTCCAACGATTTTAATGAACTTTAAATATAGGACGCCATGTTGAATTCAGCGTCGCCAGTACTAAGAATTTCCAGAGCAGGTGGTGTATATCAAGGGCCTTTACCCGGCGATGATTGGACCGTTTTTGGTGCCAACGATACAACTTACGAACCTGTTGCATGGGGTAGCAATGACTCGTTCAGTTCGCAGAGCGAATACATTCCTCTGGCTACTGTCATACAAGACCACGGTATGTACGACGGAATATCCAGGGTATTATTTGGTTCAGGATTGAGGTTCTGGCTGCATCGGTTGCTTTTGTTAGATTCGTTATCGTACTTAAGCAAGGGACTGTTGAGCATATCGCTTGAGCGCCAAGTACTGGTCGATATTGATGATATATTTGTCGGCGAAACTGGTATTAGAATGTGGAAAGAAGATGTGCACGTGAGTGTGTTTAAGTTCAATAAAGATTGTAATACAATAATATAACTGTCCATAGGCAATTATGTTATTGATACAAAATCTATATCAATTTAAATGTTTTTGCGTAGGATTTAATCCAGACACAAGAGCGAATAAGTAAATTAGTACCAGGGTTTAAATTTAATTTAGGATTTTCTGGCAAATACTTTCATAAAGGAACGTGGGAAGAAAACGAAGGCGACGACACGATTTTGGGTAAATTAAAAAAATATTTAACTAAATAATGTATTAGAACTTAGGGAGCCATAGGCGAACGAAGATTTTTTTGTTTGGGTGTGTTACTAAAGTAAAAGGAGCCCTTAAGGTGGTGTCGTATTGTTTTTCTTATTAATATAGGTCTTGAGTGGATAACTAATTGTTATTCTATGCGTATAATAAATTATACGCATAGTTTTATAAAAATATTTTAGGAAAGACGACAATTAAACTAAGTACTTGATAATTTTCTTGGAAAAAATTCAATAGTTGATGGTTAGTATGGGTTTAAAATATCATATATAAGAATATGGATCCTTTATTTTTTTTTTTAATTACATGGGCCGACGTTTGATATAATAAAATAAAAAAATATAAAATTTTAACCAACTTCAAAAAGCTGTAGAAATGTAACATCTGAATTTAAAAAAAGTATATGATATCAACATTTTTCTCTAAATTTAATCTTTAAGCTCTCTGTCTTGAAAATTCTAAAAAATTGTAAAATAAAAATTTAATGAGTATATATTTACATCATTTTACATGATTGAAAAATATGTTTAATGATAATTTTAAAATGTAGTTCAAGTTTATAAAAATTGCATACTATTAAGTACATTATAAGTTATTAAAATTGTTCCACTCTGTTTATAAATAAATATTTTTTCGAAATGTATGCATTAATTTATGTTTATGTTTATTCATTAGAACATGTTGACAAGTTCAATTGGTTCTGCCATATGTGGAATCACATGCAACCACATTTATACAATAATGAGACTCAATTAGAATATGAAATGACATTAAATAAATTGTTTGCTGAAGTAAGACAATATTATTATTATTTTATATATTTTCATAAGATAAAATAATTTAAATCTTCTTCTTTTTCCTCGCCTTAATCCCAACTACTTGGGGTCGGCCACCCTTTTCCTATACTTTCGCTTGACACAATCTCCCACATCCTCTACGCTCACATCAGATGTCCTCATATCGCATTCAATAACATCTCTCCATCTCTTTTTTTGGTCTTCCTCTACCTCTTCTTCCTTCAACATTCAATTCTATAACTGTTTTTGTAGCATCCGATTCCTTTTTCCTCATGATATGACCAAACCATCTAAATCTGTTTTCTCTCATCTTATATACGATTGACGTTTTACCTTTACTCCCTCTTATATGTTTGTTCCTTATCCTCTCATCTCTACTACACTTATTCTCTACTCTTCTTTCTTGTCAATCGCCCAACACTCTGAACCAAACATCATATCTGGTCTCACTACAGTCTTATAAAATTTACCTTTTAGCCTTATTGGAATTCTTTTATCGCATAACACACCAGACACTTCTCTCCACTTTAACCATCCACACTTATTCCTGTGCCTTACATCCTAGTCAATACCAACACTCTTTTACACAACTGATCCTAAATACTTAAAACTTTCCATCTATCTTATCACGTCCTCCCCTATTGTCACTGAATATTTTATCTGAAGATTAATTAATCAAAATAATTAAATAATTATTAATTTTTGTATATTACATAATATTATAGGCCAACAATATTCCAACTAATTCCAGTTATTCAGTAGCACCCCATCATTCTGGTGTATATCCTGTTCATGAACTTCTGTATACCGTTTGGAAAAAAGTATGGAATATCAAAGTGACATCAACTGAAGAATATCCTCATTTAAGGCCTGCTAGGTTAAGAAGAGGATTTATTCATCGAGGAATAAAAGTAATTACAAAGTTTTAATTTAATTTAATTATTTTATTAAAAAGTCATATAAATCTTTTTTTACCTTTTTAGGTACTTCCTAGACAAACTTGTGGTTTATTTACGCACACAATATATGTTGATCGTTATCCTGGTGGCCGAAAAAAATTAGATGAATCAATTATGGGAGGAGAACTATTTCAAACTATTGTTTATAACCCTGTAAGTATAAAATATGTTTTCATACTAATAAAATTTAAAAGATATACATTGTTGGCTCCACAAGGAAACTTATTAATGATTATTTTTGTACTTTATTTTTTGTAATTTTATGTANTACATTGTTGGCTCCACAAGGAAACTCATTAATGATTATTTTTGTACTTTATTTTTTGTAATTTAATATTGTGATTTTATATAAATTATACATGAATTTTTTATCAAATCTGTATTAAAGTTAAAATTACTATTTTTTACATCTTCTTAATAATTTAATAATTATATGATAATACATCGAATGGTAGTAATTATGAATTAAAAATAAATAAATTATAAAAATTACAATTGATGAGTTTCTGCATAAAACTAACAATATTGCTGTAGTAGAAGTAATTCCACTCGCTAATCGTAAATTTTAAGGAGTACAAAAATGAGATTATGGTTTATTTTATAATTGGTTATTAAAGATCAATAAGTCAATATAACATTCTTTAAGTCACATTTAAAACTTAAAGTTATAAAATTATTTTTACCTTATATTAAAGTTTTTTGCACATTTTAATATGTACAACTTTTAAAGAGCACTAAATAGTATTATATAGTATTTTTTATTAATATGATAGAAATAATTTTAATTCATTATTGTTGGTTCGTTTTTGTTCAGATATGAACTTATTCTTAAAAACTAATAATTTGAAATTTTATCATTTTTGGAATATATACAAATATAATTTATGTCATTTAGTTTTATAAGGTAAAAATTAATAAAATGATTTAATTAATTTTCATATTTCAATTAATAATTTCAATAACTACACAAAAGTTATTATAGATCACTAAAATATACATTGAAGAATTGTTATGTAGTTCTTAAAATGATTTTAACCCTAGTGACAATTAATATTAACTCTATTCATTAAACTTTTTCCTTTCATTCTATGAATATAATGCAACACTTTATGAGGAGATTGGGTTGGATATTATTGATTTATTGTGTTTTAAAATTAGGAATAACATTATTAATATTTTTTTAGATTAATGTTTTTATGAGTCATATGTCAAATTATGGAAGTGATCGATTAGCCTTGTACACATTTGAATCAGTGTTTCAATTTATCAGGTGTTGGACTAATCTTAAGCTGCAATCATCTGGACCACTTCAACTAGCTGAAAAGTATTTTAAAATGTATCCTGAGGAAGTTGATCCAGTATGGGGTGTAAGAACTATTTAATATTTCATTGTTTATTAATATATTTTTCAAATAATTGTATAATTTTCATGTCTAGAACCCTTGCTTAGATCAAAGGCACCTTAAAATCTGGTCATACAAAAAGTCTTGCCAGCGTCTACCAAAATTTCTTGTAATAGGACCTCAAAAGACTGGTACTACAGCTCTGTATACTTTTTTATCAATGCACCCTAACATATCTGCTAATACACCAAGCAAAGAAACTTTTGAAGAAATTCAATTTTTTAATGGTCGAAATTATTATAAAGGATTAGATTGGTAATTAAGTTATTTGTTTTACCAAAAACATTTTTAATCTTGCTTTTTATTGTAATGTTACATCTTTGTAAATCAATTATTATCTCAGTTATTTTGTTATCTTCTCATGCATCTTATTTAAATTTACAATTTTTTTAAAAATCTAATATAAAAGTGATAATAAAATCTATTACATTTTCGTAAGAATAGTGATAGATATTGAGGTTATCTATATGATAGATATCTAACTTAATTAGTAACATTGTACACTTTTATGCATAGATACTAGTGTTTAATTCTGTTGAGATGGGCTATGTAAATTTGTGGTCCTCCCCAGCACAAGTTTTTAATAAAGAGCATTAAAATAAATAAAAATATAAAAAAAACTAAACCATTTAAAATAAAAAAAATGATTGTTGTCAACGTCACAATAATATGTTACTTTCAATGTATTTGTATACAAAAATAAAACAACAGAACAATAATTTGATTCTTATAACTTAAAAGTGAGTTTTTTTTTTTTTTTTGGTGTCTTCATTAGATCTTAAATTATACTAAGGAGTATAACATTAATGTGTTATAAAATTTATTAATAGTCTCCTAGAGTTAAAAAAATCTATATGATAACTACTAGTCATAAACTTAGTTCATCCATAATATAAATTTACTATTCAAATAATCACACACATAAATAAATAATTAGTATAAAAGTATAACCTATAAATTAAAGTAAGGACCACGTCAATTGAAATAAACAATATAACTAATGGAAATCTTATTTATTATTAATTAAACACCTTATAAGAAAAATGTAATTTAATTTTGGAATGAAAAATATACTAAATTGCATACCTGGCAATTATTTTATGAACTATTTTAAATTTAGGTATATGGAATTTTTTAAGTCAAATGATACAATTGAAAATAAAATTGTTTTTGAAAAATCTGCAACCTATTTTGACTCCGATATTGTACCCAAACGAGTACAAGCACTATTGCCAAATGTAAAATTAGTAAGTTTACATAACAATCTATCGAATGTTTATTGTTTTATTGTCAGTTATTATTAATAGTAAAATATGAAATTTTCAGATCACTATATTAGTATCTCCAGCTAAAAGAGCATATAGTTGGTATCAACATGCAAAGGCTCATGGTGATCCAACAACTCTCAAATATTCTTTTCATGAAATCATAACAGCTAATGAAACAGTTGNATGAAATCATAACGGCTAATGAAACAGTTGCTCCAAAATCTCTTAGAGATCTTCGAAATAGGTGTGTGGAATATTTTTATTTAACTATAGTTGATTTTATTAATCTTTATATTTTAACTAGTTCTTAAGTTATTCTTAGAGTTATTTTTTGTTACAAAAAAATTTGCTACATATATATATATTTTGTTGCTATATTAATTAACAAACAAATTTATGGTTTGTTGATGAGTAAACATTTACATTTTTATGATGATACATTAAGTTAAATTAATTTATGCATTACTTTTATGTTAAATAAGTGTAATAAAAAATTATTATTTTACAGATGTTTAAACCCAGGAAAGTATGCATTACACATTGAGCGTTGGCTTGATTTCTTTCATCACAACAATTTACATATAATTGATGGTGAACAACTCAAATCAAATCCTGTAGATATTTTAGAACAATTACAAAAATTTCTTAAGGTGTCACCTATGTTTGACTATTCTTCACACATCAGGTATTTGATATTAATTAATTTTTTTTATAAATCAAGTAATTATATTTTGGTTATTTATTAATATTACATTTCAGGTATGATGTAAAAAAACATTTTTTTTGTAAAGTGTTGGACCAAGGTGGAAATAAATGTTTGGGTAAAGGAAAAGGTCGACAATATCCTCCAATGGATGCTAATTCGTACAAGTATCTTAGAGAATATTATATGCCATATAATACTGCTCTTGTGAAACTCCTACGTAAATTAGAACATAAAACTATTCCACAATGGCTTAAAGAAGACTTAAGTTATTCATCAACCTGACATTTGCTTCGTGAGTCCCTCAAAACAATATTTTTGAATTAATTAACTTGTTTGAAATCGTACAGTATTATTTATTAATTATTATACATAAAAAGTAATAAATAATGTTATATGGTTTTTTTTTATAAATAGTAATTTTTTACTGATAAAAATAATATTTTCATGTTGTTTAATCACTAAATAAATATTACATTAGTTTGAGTGTATGTTAAAAACTAAAATGACTTAACTTTTTTTCAATTTTTTAGTAAAATGTAGTTCATGATTTAAAATAATCTTTTTTCAAGGATAACATTTTTGCGAATTAAAAAATTTATTTTCTGTTAAATAAATTTAATGAATATTTTCTGTAAAGTTTTTTCTTATTACAGGTGGTAGAAAGAAGAAATACCAGCGATTACTGGCAGATACTTATTCTACCACGAATAACTAACTTATCAAGACTATGTTATATATTGACTTACTATGCCATATTAATTTAAGTATTATTATAAATTCTATAACCATGAAAATTTATGGTACACACATTTGTATGTCATATCTTACCGTTTTGTTTTTAAACCATGTTGATAATTTAAAAGAAAAACATAGATTTTTTCTGTTGTAAATATATACACATGTATATAAATTTATATATATAATTATATAGATTTATAAGTAATACTTTGTAGACCGTCCAAGTGAGTAATTGTTGAATAATGTTGATTTAAAATTTTAAATAATATTCCTATGTCAATTCTTTATTTAGAATATCTAAAAATATAGACAATTTTTTACTACAGTTTTGATTTATATATTTTTAACTTCTAAATTGAATTCTTTAAAATAACATTAATATAAATCATCTGTTTTCTGAGACTACAGTATGTAATATCCAATATTTTGTTGTGTTAATTTAAATATATTAAAATATTATTTTGAATACATTTTTTATAGTATCATTGATTTAAATGACCTATAAAACAAGTAAAATCATATAAATTAAATAAAATAAAATCTCATTCTATAGTGAATTAACAATATTTAAATAACTTTTCTTCATCAATAGAAAATTGTTTTAATAAACTAAGGCTTGAAACAGAAATATTTTTTTTCAATTTTTATTAGCTCATTAATACGGAAGTGTCTGTAGATGTGATGATGGGCTTATTTTCAATTTGTATGATATTTTTAGAGTTCAATTTTTTAACAGATTTAGTTTTGTTATTCAGTATTAAAATGTTCGTGTAAGGTGTTGTAATATTATTTTCTGGCAATATTTTAGACGGTGTGATCGAAAGATTATTTTTCGACGATGTATTTTCCAAGTTTAATGAATTATCTATTATTGTGATTTTCTCTATAGAAGTTTTAAAAGGCTCTTTTTCAGTTTCAATAATCGAAGTTGGCGTAAATCTATCTTCTCTAAGCGGTTCTTTTAAAATTGAATTATTTGAAATAATAGGTAACTCCAAATTAATAGGGTGTGTAGTCGAAATCCGGCAAGTATTCACAATAGTTTCTACTTTTTCAGTTAAAGCCTTTTTCTTCTTAGAAAGTTTCATCTCCAAAAAAGTCTGCAATGACACAGTTGCCAGTGCAATAAACATAACATCTCTGATTACTTGAATCGGAATTATGAAATATATGACCAACGTCGTTATCACGAAAAACAAATCCGAATTCATTTTTTTTTTATAAATGTATGTTATTGAATTAAATTATTTATGAAATTTTTAAGTTATACTTAGAGAAAATATAAGATTTATAGAATTTTAAATATATATGCGTATTAATTGATCACGGAAAAAAATTTAAGCATAAGATCACCATACGGTGTCGATTTAAACATTATTTATTCTATTTAAGCAAAAAAAAAGTGTTGTTTACTTTTTATTTAAGCCAATTAATTTAACAAAAATTTTTTTTCAATTGGCCAACAATTATTAAATTTGTCTAGTAAAATAACTTATTTTGGTCACTTAGTTACCATTGCTTTTTATTCTGGCGTATACATGTACAGGATGATTGATTAACTATGCTTCACAAATTATCTATGAAAATATAATATTTATCTTTTTTTTCTTAATGAAATATTATGTTTATATCTTGGGCTGCTCAGTGAGTAAAATTACATTTTTTGAGCATCCCTTACGCTTTAAATCAGTATCAACTTTCACTTTTCAAATGGAAACTCTATTTTAGCTTCGATGCGAAGCTGAGAAGGTATTGGTTTTACTAAGATGTGTTTTTTTTTTTTTTGTTGTGTCTGTTACCACTTTTTCTCAGCTCACACCGAACCGATTTCTTTAAATGATACGTCAAAAGATCACAAATCGTATCTAATCAAAGACATTACCCTCAAAAATTGAAAAAAATTCCCTCGTTCCCCGTAAATGGGGGAAACTTCCAAAAAAATTACGAATTTAAAATCGCTAATTTTCGAAAATTTTTCAATTTTTTTTACTTAAAATTGCCATAATTTTTTAAAAATAACCAAATCAATATAATTATTTTTTTTATAGATGCAAGATGTCTTTACCTATCATTTGGTATAGTTTTTTTCCATACTGACCCTTTACTTGCCCACATGGGGGGATTTAAAATGAACCACTTTTTCTCAAAAAATTAATTTTTTCATATTTACAAAAATTGATTTTTTTTTTTTTGAGAATTTTATTTTTTATGCTTAACAGATTAATAAAAAAAATGGGTTACTACTTGAAAAACTAAAGTTGATATTGATTTGAGGGATGAATATAAATATAGAGGGTTAAGGGATGAATGTGGAATCTTTATTTTTCTTGCTAAGTAGCTCAACAAAGATTTATAACAAATAAAATAATTATATATATGATAACACCAATATTTTAAAGAAAATTCGTGAGGCATTGTTAGTCAATCGCCCTGTATAATTCAAAAAAATATAATTTAAATATTGGCTGAAAACAATCTATGGCAACCGTTAAATAACATTTATTTTTGAATTAATGAAAAAATTTGTTTTAACAACGTTATTTATTGTTGGCCAAAATATCGGTAAAAAATTAGTATAAAAGATCTAGTAAACTAAAAATTTATTGGGACTTATAGTCTAACCAGCGAACGAAGAACATACAAGCTCTTGTGGAAGCCAAACTAGTCTATTAGTCTCAGTCGCGTCGAAATCAAAATTCAAAAATCTTGAAATCAACGCGACATTCGTAAGTCGAACATATTAACTATTTCCAACAGTCTTTTGTATGTTTATGTGGTATGTTCTTTGGCCTTGTACGTAATGTTTTATACTAACGCAATTTTAATCTAACAATTTGTAAGACCAATAAAGAAATTCTAAATAACACAACTTTCTTTAGTTGTGATAGACAACTACGTGCAATAAACTATTTCCAAGTGGCCCAAGTTTCTTCAGTCATCCATAAAATGATCTAGGGTAGATGCGAGCTTAATTCAGTTCTTTGCACAATAGATGATACTAGTGTCTTATACTCCGATTGCTCGCACTGTGACAGAGATCAGACTGGCTGGTCGACAAGTAGAGAGACACTAGAGAACGCTTATAATTAGTTGAAACCTTGACTACGATATTATAATGTTAGTACTCTGTCCAACCAGGTTATGGCGCTCCAATTATTAATAAAACACAATGCAATCTAATTAAGTTTTTATTTGTGTTAAGGTAAATAATAAAAATAAATAATCCAAATACCAATACGTTTTATGTGTTGAAATGTTTGTATCACCAAAAGTGTTCGGCCTAAAATAAAATATATAATAATTCTAAGTCTGAGCGATTAAAAAATAGAATGTAAAATAATGCAGATCTGATATGAATTATAACTAAGAACGAACTATATGCTGACGCAGATTCCATGTATGTGAACATTTACCAGGAAGAGGAGAGAGCTTCTTTGGGAAAAAATGGCCTTTTTATTGCCCGAAAAACAAGTTTAGCGATTTCTGGTAAGATTTTTAGGATATTTTTTGTTGTACTTGATTGGTCAATGTGATCAAATATTTTACGTGGGCGTTTTATGAAATACGTAAAAGAGTAGTTGAATTGTGTGTAAGGGTATTATTTTTTATTCATCTTATCGACGGGAGAACATTGATTTGGTGATATATTTTTTTTAAGTATATGTATTATTTATTACATTTATTAAAATGTGATACTACATTATATATCTACAATGACAGCTGCTAATACTATGATAAGTTGGCCTCCGTTTACAATTACTTCAATAAATACAAATACATCTTTTTAATAAAATGCCATTATCTCAACACATGAAAACTTAGATGTTGCCATATGAAGGTCTGCTAACTTGCAAGCTACCTTAACCTGATAATCGCATGGTGTAATAAATAGCGTATAAAACCTAATCAGAACAAATCGGTACACACAACTTTTACTTAAAGTCACTTCTCCACCCGTACTGAGGTCACTTTGAATAAAACTACCATTTGTTCCTTCGATACAGTGAAATATTTAGGTTTAACCCTTGACAAACGATTAACATGGACCAACCATATTCGTAAAAAAAGACTTCTTTTAAACTTATAACTCTGCTTTCTTCGATCGTTCGTAATAATTTAACGACATACTAACCTGAAAATCAAAATCTTAATGTATAAATCAATCATAAAACCAATTTGGTCGAAATTTAAGAACATTGCACTTAGAAAAATTACCCATGCATTCCGTTATACAACGAACTATAATTGAAATTATGACCTTCATAAAAAAATTAACAGAGGAAATTCTTCAATTTTATAAACGTTTTCATAATGGATTACAAAATCAGTCAAATAGTCTTACCAATAAATTGTAGAATAACTCTATACTAGACAATCATAGACGACGTCTAAAGATACAATGGTGTCGTGACTTATTGATGTAATCAAAATGTTATATTATTAAAGTGTCACTGATAGGTGAATTATGTCTCAAATGTATCGTGTTTTTGTATTACATCAACACTAGGGTGGCCCTCAAAAATCGAATACCTTTTCTTTTTACGTTACCCCTTAATTTTTTTTAACGGTCACAAAAATGAACTGCAAAATTTGGGACCATTTAGATTAACCCGTGCTCCCGGGCCTATTAAGTTGAGTCAAAGAGTCAAATTGAATGGAAATAACTGATCCATGTCTCATAACTTTTTTTTTGCTAACTTAGAATTATAAAATTAAAACTCGAGTAAAGGAAATTTTACAAGAAATTCAAAAATAATAACTTCAATGATGTTTTTTTAATAAATAGCCCACGAAAACACTACATCCAGTAAAACACATGTAAAAGTTTTAAAAATACGTTATAACTGATTTTGTTGATTTTTACTTATTTATTTTCATTCTTTGGAAAACGCATATTCGTTAAAAAAAAAGATTCTAAAAGTTAAATTTTTTATGCCAAGTACAATAATAATTATTGTATAATAATAAATCTAATATAATTATTCTAGTAGATTTATTATTTTATCGACAGTTAATTAATGATTAATTACAAACCTAACAAAATTTATTGTATTATTACATTTTGTCGTATCAATATATCAATTTAGGTTTACTGAATTACTTTAAGATAGTACCAATTATACTATTATTAAAGATAAGTATATTTGAGTTATTTTCGACAACTGACATAATTTGTGTGGTATAAATGCAGCAGACAATTTGTGAATATGTTTAATCATATTTTACCTATTTATTGTTATATATTAAATGATACGTTTTAATTACAAACGTACAATACTTTTAGACGTCTTTTAAAGTACAACGGACTAATATTTATCTTATTGGTAATTATTTCCACAAAATAACTGGTAGTAAGTTACCATTAAATTTATTAGTGTCCATTCTGTTTATTCTGTGATATCACCATTCATTCGCTATAAAATATTAATAGTGTATGCATTTATATAATCTGTCGTAGAATTAACATAGAAAATGCTGTTGTTGACATACATTGGCCTGTACGATGTATTGACAATAATTATATCTCCCTCTATATCCTATTGACGTAATTTTCGTCTCTCTCTATATCCTATTTTCGTAAGCCCTTCTAAATATGAGCCTTCTGGAAGAATTTTTCGTTTTTTCTGCTTTAAAATTCACGTTTTTTTTTTTTGGTTTCGAGACCGGCGCCTAATGACGGCGCTTATTATTTTCGATCGCCACGCGAATTTTTTACCACCGTTATCGCGTTCCCGCCAAAACGTCGTTATCAGCGCGTCCGACGCCATGGTTTTATTTTTTGCGCCATCGTCGTCCGTTACTTCGTCGTTTATTTTCATGATAATTCGAGTTTCGTCCGTCGCCCTGTCCTTCGCATATATGATTTTGTAATTTTTAAATGGCATTTGTTGTGTCCTGGCGATCAAGAACTGATTTATGTCGCGGGTAACACATATTTATTTATTATGAAACGTGTGTTTTGATTTTGTGATACTCCATTTTCTTAATTTATGATGTTTGCCAGAACTTAATGTTTGTGATTCCGCTTAAATATTTTTTCGACGATCGTTGTACGACAGTAAGGACTGTATTGATTAATGCCATTTGTAAATTATGTAGTTCTATTGCAATTATTAGGCGAAACGTGTAATCGGTAATTTTTCAGCGATTCTAATAAATATATTTTTTAAATTGTTGATATTTCAATGACAATGGCGTTATTGTTTAATTTGATTTTGTAATTTTTAGATGGCGTTTGTTGTGTTCCGAGGACTGCGGTCGAATAGTGGCTCAACCCGTTCGATCAACTCTGATCGACAACGGATTTATTACACGGGTAAATCATTATTTTTATTTGTTAAATAAAGTAGTCTGTCAATATTTTATCAATTGGTGACTGCAATGTGGTGTAATGCGTATTGAATAAATTCAACAAATTATTATTGTTATCATATTTATTTATTCACACTCATTAACATCTTTGTGGTATTCTCGAGTATTTATTAAAATGTGTAATTGACTATTGTTGTACAGTAGTTGTAATAATTAAATATTTATTATTAATGGCTAATAATTAATCTGTTGTGTACATTTAAATTTTTCAATTTATATATAATATTTTGTTTGCGTGTATATATTTGTTGTTTCCTTAATGATTATTAGTTATTGAGAGTTGTGATAATTGACAATTTGATGACAATTGTAATAATGATGTTATTATTTTTAAATTGTTAATATAATCATGGTAATGGCAGTATTAATTTATTTGATTTTGTAATTTTTAAACTGTGCTTCTGTTGTGTCCAGACGACTGATTGAAAAGCTGCTTGACCCGTTGACCAAGAGTGCTGCTTGCTATAATGTATGAGGATTTATTACACGGGTAAATTTTTTTTTTTCATTAAATAAAATTAGTAGGTTAGTATTTTATCTATTTGTGATTACAATGTTACAATGTATATTGAACATATTCATAAGGTTTTAATTTATATTCACATTCATTAACATCTTTGTGGTGTTTTATTATTAAAATGTGTAATTGACTGTTATTTTTCAACAGTATTGATGGCAATAATTAATGTATTTTGAAAATTATTTTAATTTTGCAATCTTTATATTTTTAATTTTTTATTTGAACGTATTTGTTATTCCCTTTATGATTATTTTTGAACTATAATAATTGTTAATATTATTAGAGAAATGGGAAATTGTATTTTATTTATTGGTGCATTTTGTACTACATCAATCTCTCTATCAATCTCTACAATTTCTCTCTCTTTCTCTCTCTCTCTCTCTATATATATATATATGTATATTTAATTTTTTTGTTTGAATATACTACATTTATATTTTTGATTCCCTTTACGATTAATTCTTATTGAAAAGTGTTATTGACAATTTCAATGCAATTGAAATATTAATAGTATAATTTTTAAATTGTTGATATAATCATGGTAATGGCAGTATTAATTAACTTGATTTTGTAATTTTCAGTCTGTGCGGCTTTTGTTTTGTCCGGATGACTGGTCGAATAGTGTCTTGACCCATTGGCCAAGAGTGCTGGCTATTATTCATAATAGTTGTATTACACAGGTAACTGATTTAGATTCATTTAATAAAATTAATTTTGTTGTTAGAAATAAATTTATCTGCTCTGTACACGTTAAACATAAAGTCGATCGGTATTTAATTTATTGTTGAGTGCAAGGTGTAATATGTGATACATCAGATCACACATTATATATATATATATATATTTCAATTTTTGTGTACATATATCGACTATTATATAGCAGTCTCGGTTATTACCTTTTTCTTAACAGCAGTATTAATTAATTTGACTTTTTAGATTTCAGACTGTGTGTTTGTTGTGTCCACATGACTGTTTAAATAATGTCTCAACCTGTAGAGTCTACAATGTTTTTTAAAAGTATTGGTCTACAGTGTAGACATACTACTTATTAAAAAAGTAGTATCTATACTTACAACCTTTATTGTGGGCGAATAGCTATAAAAAAAGTTGAATAAACATATAAATATATTTTGGGAAAAATGACGTGGAATACTAAGTAATAATAATTATAATACATCATAATCTAATTTTTAATGAATTTAATACTTGAATTTTAATCCTTTTAATTTATAATACAAAAACATCATAATAATATTATTCTTTAAGAGAATAAAATAATTAATAAAATTAAACAACACAAAATAATATAACTTTTATCACAGATTTATTAACAAAATAAAATCAAATTAACTTTTTACAACATAATAGTATTCAAAATATTATAATAATAAAAAGGAAATAATTAAAAACAAAATATAATATTATACTGTTTCTTATAATATAATATTATACTGTTGATTCAAGAGACTTATAGAAATCATCGTATGTTGATGGAACAAGTCCCATTGAGCATAATGATAACAAATCTGCAATCTTTGGTTTTCCAATATGTAATTTTCCATTGTATGCTTTTATTGGTTTAAAGCGAGGTTTATGTTTTCCCCTTTGTTTTTCTTTTCTTGATATATCGATTTCAACAAAGTCTGAAGCACTTAAATCATATATTATGCATAGTTCAAATGGCTTTTCAAAAGTCACAGCTATTTCTCTAATGGTATTCCACTTGATGTTGCTATCGTCACGAGCTGTTGTCCAATTACACAATTTGTCATCAATTAATGATTTTAAATCCAAAATATCTTCATTTGATACCTCAATCACTGTACAGTTTTCCAGTAATTTTCGCACTGCTTATTAATGTTACCCATCGAGCAGGGACATAAATAGTTAAACCTTTTTGAGCATTTTCTATGCATGCATGCATGATATCACCCTCATTTTGGGTATGCCCCTTTTCTTAAAATCTATGTGTGATTTTAATTTTTAGGGTGAAGGCTGCATACTCCAACATTGCAAAAATGAAACAATTTTTGTTATGACCACTGCAATTATCCGAATAAAAGCAAAATTCTTTTACTTCTTTAGTCATGTACTTCAAAAACTTCATTAAGCATGTACTTTTTGCAAATCAAAAACGGCAATACAACTCAGGGTTATTAACTTATCGTTGTTTATCAATATTTTTTTGATCTCTAGCAATGTTCTTGTTTACTAAGAGTCCCATTGTCTTGAATGGTCCTCTAAACCCTAGTATTCACCAAATATTTTCTTACGTATTTCCTCGCTAACTTTTTTGGAGCATTTCTTTTTGCATTTACATGGTACACCTATTTGTTTTGCTTTTATTTTTTTTCCCTTTCTGTTTGTATGCTCTAAATCCAAGTAAAATTAAAACTATATTAAAAATATTATTAATTTAATATAGTTTTAATTTTACTTAATTAGCCACAAGTGATCAATTTTTATTATACTCTAAACCCAAGTTTAACATTTTTTTAGATTTGTTGTCTATCTATTCAGATGTATTTCGTTGACGTACACGGGTGTTTTCTTTAGGAGTAATATTATTATCTTTCTTAAGCTATCAAGTTCCTAATAATATTATTATTATATTATTAAACCCATAATATTATTATTATAATATAATAATATTTGCCCATGACTTTTTATAATGATAATACATTTTCAATTCATTCAATAGTAATTTATATTTTAATTTAATAACAAATTAAAAATTACAATTACTTCTTGAATTAATTTTATTAATATTTTCTACTAAATCATTAGCTGTTGAAGTATCCTTAAATTAAAATTAAATAAGTATTAATAATTACTATACAGGGCCGGATTGGACAAATTTGGCCCATTGAGTTTTCTATACTTTTCTGGTCCAGTTACAAACCGGCAACCCTTGACCCAAATTTTTTTTAATCATATTACTGTAGGCAGGCTTGCTCTGACTTAGTTGACTGCCTTTGTTTAACAAACAAGTTAGCTGCACCCCTAAATTTCATATTTGAACACTATCAGAATCAGTGACGGATTTAAGGATTCAAATAAAAATATTTTTCGTAAAACTAAATCTGTAGCCTAAAAATGTAAAACACTGAAATTTTTCATATTTTTCCAAAACTTTGACCTTTATGTTCGCCAAGTTAATCATGTAGTATGAAGCTCAAATTTTTTGGAGATTATCTTTAGACATAAAGAAACAAATTTACACCTGGCGCTCCTGAAGCTTCACATAAAAATTTTCCTTCATGTGTAAATAATGGCCCCTCTAATGAACGTATAATGGCAATGACATGATTATTTATTAAAATGTGTATTAGCAATTGTACAGCAAATAAAATATTAAAAAAAATTTTTTTCGCATTATAGTTATGACCATATTAATTAATGTGATTTGTAAATTTTAGATTGTGCACAGCCTCTGGTAAAGCTACAAAAATTTTCCATTCTGTTTTACCCGCGATGTGTTGATAGTGCTGTGCTATTGGTTTTTTTTTTAGTCAGTGCTTGCCTTCCTTTGCTGTTTGCCGTTCCTCCATTATGGTACTGTAAGTTTTTCGTTAGTTGTTATCTTGGATTTTATTTTGATTTATATTGTTTACTTTTCAGCCTGTCAAACCTCGATTCTATAATAGTAAATTATTTTTGATAACTCTAAGNGATGTTATAATAGTAAATTATTTTTGATAATTCTAAGTTAAAATTACTATGGAAACAGTACACATAGACATTTTCTTAGTAAATTCGAGTTATTCAATACATTGTGATAAACTGAATGTTCTATATTTGTGTTTATTATATTAATAATTATTAATTAAACTTGTATTATTTATCTTTNTCAGATATCATTATACTTGATCCAACTATACCACGTCACAACTGTGTCGCGACCCCCCTGTGCTGGGTTTTTTTTTGTTATTCAATCAACATTTAATTTTTAAAATTTATTTACTTAGATTATTTCACAGTTTTTTTATTAATAAGTAAAAACAAAATACAGCATTTTAGGAATCAAAATAAAAACAGTAAAAAAAAACATGCTAATACTATGCCATCTTATTGATTGCTACTTATGGGCAATAAGTCAATAAGGTTAATCATCTGATTATAACAATATTAATAATTATTTGAGTATTACAATTTATTCATACGTGATATCTCATTCCTAACAACTGCCGTTGAAAAATATACATTAATCGTGATATAGCATCAGTGGCGATTTATCCCAAAGATGGGCCTGTGTGCAAAACTAAAAAAAGGGCCCTCTTTATTTTTTTATTCTATATAATATAGATATAGGTATATAATTCCAATTAAGTAAGAAATAAGATGAAATTACGTCATACATATAAAATAATATATTATAATATAACAAATAATAATGATAAGAATATAATAATAATAATAAATCAGTGAAAATTTCGTTTGCGTGCTTTTTTTTCCGCAAAGTTATTAATTATTTCATTTAAGTTTAACTGACGAGCTCGGTCGTTTTCAATAGACAGAATTCCAAGTCCACTTAATCATTCTTCACACATTGTGCTACGTAAATAATTTTTGATAAGTTTTAATTTCGAAAATGATCGTTCCACTGTAACAACTGTTACAGGAAGTGTCAAAAATAACATGCACGCTGTACATATTTTAGAAAATNGGAAGTGTCAAAAATAACATGCACGCTGTACATATTTCAGAAAATGTTGTTGCTAATGTAGGATTCTCTATAACAAGTAATTCGGTAATTTCTTTTATCTAGGTTCTTTTTGTAATTTCTTCTTTAAAACAAGATCTGAACGATAAAATTTGACCAGCAAGAGCATTAGATAAATCAGAATCATAATATTTTACCAATTTATTAGCGGAGTTATAAATTTGTTCGTCTGTTAAATTAATCAATGAATTCGGTTGAATAACTTCAAATATTTTGAATACGTTATTTAAACGGGTAAAACGTTCCTTTAGTTGCATTATTGCATTATCTAATGTTAAATAAAATATATTAACTTTAAAATGTTCTTCTGCTGAAGTAAGCAATAATCTTGGAGGATTTCGTCATAAAATCGTTTTACTCTTCGGTTTCTTTTTTCTTGAAATTTTTGTGGTACACCCCATATTTTTGCCATTTCTACTGCTATTTCAAAAAAATCAGTGTATTGTGACCTGTATTCTTGAAGATTTCTCAACGCAGAATTAAGCAAGGAAACTGCTGTGCTCAGTTCTTGTTTAGGAGACTGAAGAACTTTTGATACAACATTTACAGTTTCCAGAATTTTGCCAATGAAAACTACACTGAATATAAATTGAAAATCTTCCATATGAACTTTTAAATAATTTGCTTCAAATATTTCATCTTTATTTTTGCTTCGAATAATTATTTGCGACAAACATTTTAAAATATCAACATAACGATGTCGAATAGCTAATAAAGAATCATACCTTGATGACCAACGAGTGGTACATAATCTTTTTAATGTAAATGAAATATCTGATGACTCTGAAGATAAAAGTAATTGCCAATGTTTAATACTATTTGAAAAAAATGTATCAATTTTTTCCAGAAGTCCAATGAAATTTTTTACTTCCANTTTCCACGAGTCCAAAGAAATTTTTTACTTCCGTTGAAGAATTCATTGCATCGTTTAAAACTAAGTTCAAATTATGAGAAGCACAATGGATATATGTTGCCAATTTTTGTTTAGATTTTAACCTAGCCTGGACACCTGAATATACACCACTCATGTTGGCAGCCCCATCATACCCTTGACCACGAAGTTAAGACAAATTTAAATTATTTTTTGTGATACAATTAATAATAGATTCCTCTAAACCAACACTTGCTGATTGATCTAAAATTTCTACAAAGCCAATGAATGATTCATTTATTTGCAATGTTTTAGGATACCCATTAGCGTCTAAAACAACCGAAACGTATCGAATAACTTGACTTAGTTGATCAATCTTACTTATATCTTGAGTGGTATCCATTATGACAGAAAAAAATGGCGATTGGTTAATACTTGAAATAATTTGTTCTAATATCGTATTTGCAAGTAAAGTAATTATCTCATTTTGAATAGTGTTACTTAAATAATTTGCTGTACCCTTACCAGCTGGCATACTTAATAGTTTTTCTAATATGGGATCATACTTTGAAATAAGAGTTATTATTGATAAAAAATTGCCTTTATTTTTACTAAATTCGGTTTCTCGGTGACCTCTAAAAGACAAGTTGGGATGTAGCTAGTGTTAATGTGACATTGATAACCTGATCTAATACTTGTCTCCAAAAGTTACATTCATTTTGAATAGATAATTCCATTTCTTCGGAAATTGTTATATTTTGGCGCCATTGCTCGAATATAATACAACATTGAATATGACCATTTGAATCATCATGGCGTTTAATATTTTGAGTAAGATGTTTCCAATCATTAGNGTTTAATATTTTGAGTAAGATGTCTCCAATCATTATTTCCCGTAATCCAAGATGAACTAGTTCTATCTTGAGTAGAAAACAACCAACAACATTGACAATATATTTTATTTAAAGTTAATGAGTAACATAGCCATGTACGTTTTCATTTATTTATTTATTTATTTAGTTTACGGGATGTATCCCTTTTTTTTTACAAGCTATGTTTACATATTTAATTTTAACTAAAATTGAGAGAAAGATACAAAACAAACAAAATTACATAAAAACAAATAACAAAAGACAAATAAAAAATGTTAACAATNAATAACAAAAGACAAATAAAAAATGTTTACAACTAATAAAACGAAATACGAATAAGATATTACAAAACTCAATACAAATATTATTATAATATAAAATTAGGATCCACATTAGCACTTCTAAGTAACCGGCGAAGGGGTTCATTCATTAGGTAGTTCGTGGGGGCATGCGTGACTCGGAAAGGCGCATTTGATCTGGTATTGATTTGTGGAACCCTAAAAGGGATCAGAGATAATAGCGCAGGACATTCTATCTTCCCATCAAGCAAACCCCAGCAAAACCCATCTAGCAAAACCTAGAGCACGCAATAATACGCCTCGATGACAGTGTGGAAAGGCCTAAGTTATTTGCCACGGGGCTATAATCATGGGGTGGACATGGTAAACCCAGCGCCCGCCCAGCAAAACATAGAAATTTATTTTGAACCCTTTCTAACTGGCGACAGTTGTCTGCCGTGTTGGGGTCCCATACCACACTGCCATACTCTAATATAGGGCGGACCAGTGCACAAAACAAAAGTTTTAATGTCTTTTCAAGCTTGAACTCTCTGGTTAATCTAATAAGAACACCAAGCATTTTGAAGGCTTTACAGCAGATATGTTGGATGTGAGCACTGGGGTCAAGATTGTGGCTGAATTTGAATCCAAGGTCCATAATATTGTTAGATGCACGAGGGATTTCTTCACTACCAAGGCGATATGGGAAAGTAATCGGAGAGTGATTCCTAGAAAATGTAAAAGCTTTGCATTTGGATAGATTAAGTGTTAAACCCAACTTAGTTACCCAGTCAANCCATTGTTATCACAAGACCAAGAAATCTCAGGTAGATTGTAGTCCCCGCAAATGATAAATATATCTTCTGGAAATCGGTGCATAAGATGATCAATGCAATTAGCGTGGGATTCATAAATTAAAGGGGAGGAAAGTGGGGGAATGTAGACTCCACCGATAACAAAGTTAAATGTTTCTGAAGAAATACGCACAAATAAATGTTCAACATTAATCGCACATACAGAAATAGGGATAACTGGGATATCTTTACGAACACCAATAAGAACACCCCCTCCTCGCAAACAATTACTAGAAGCACTACATCGATCATATCTAAAAATATTATAATTGACAAATCCTAGCTCTGAATTCGAAAAATTATCAGTTAGCCACGTTTCAGTGAGTACGAAAAAATTACAAGAGAGAGTTAATGAATTACAATTTAAATTAAATAATTTGGACCTGAGACCACGGCAATTTTGGTAGAAGCCGGACAGGGGTTGACTACTTGATATTGATTGTTATGAACGGGTGAATGGCGGTTGGCTGAATCCTCTTCTACGTGATGCAGCATCTTGTATTCTCGGTAAACCATTTTCAAAGATGATACGTAAACCAGACTCACCAGCCGCTGTTCGCCGCTCAAGATCACTGTAACAATCACGCAAAAGTTTGCGCTGCAACTCAGTTTTGTCACTAGTAATGCGAAGACCCTCAGGAAGCGGCAGCCCGTTACGTTTTGCAGTGTTAAACTGAGACAGTAGACTTAAAGCAGACTCTTTACTGTTACAAATAATTTTTATTGGACGAGGTGCTTCAGAACGTGGTTTACGTGTTATATATTTTATAACAAAAATATACTGAAATCAGAATGAGAAAATAAGAACGATTTAAAAATGAAAACAAATTTTTTTACTTTTTTGTAAATATCTGTATTTATTTATATTTTTAATGTTAAGCATTAAAGGCCCCCAAGCCGAGGGCCCGTGGCATATGCACACATCGCACACATGTATGACACGCCACTGATCAACAGTGATATAGTCGTAATTTGATCAATAGATAAATTAAAAACCTAAATGAGGAAACGTGGGGAATTTCACCCCAACACTACTTTTCAAAGGCCTTAACTAAAACATAGTTTTGCGGGAC